CCAACACTATTTTCTTCCAATATGATCTTATGTTGGCAAAGGGACGGGCTTATTCCCCTAATATCAGCTATGGTCCAACCGGAAGTTTTCTTATGGTCTTTCAGCAAATCTATTAAACTTTCGTCTTGTTCACCACTTAAGTTGGAAGAAATAATCACAGGCAATTATTCTCCTTCCATAAGATATGCATACTTACGATGTGAAAGCAGTGGTTTTAACTCCAAATTGGGTGCTACTACAATGGACGAGGTTTGGGTTGGTATATCTTTAAAATCTAACTGTTCAAAGGCAGCTATGTCCTCAAGTAAGTCTTCTTCACAAATGTCTTATGTCGTGCCCACAGTGTCTCCACTGTGTGCACAGTCGATCAAACTTAGATCTAAATCTTCACCTACTGAGTAAATACACGAACCGTCCTCAATCTCCCCATTGAACTTAAGAGTCTTAAACACATTGAAAGTTACCTGCTGGTCATTTACGCTCATGGTCAATTCACCCTTTTGTACATCAATCAATGTCCTACCCGTAGCAAGAAAGGGTCTTCCTAAGATAATCAGGACATTCCTATCGGCTTCATAATCTAACACTAGAAAGTCGGCTGGAAAGATGAATTTGTCCACTTTAACCAAGATGTCTTCAATTTTACCTTTCGAATATGCCAAGGACCTATCTGCTAATTGCAAAGTCACGGTCATAGGTCGAACTTCCCCAATTCCCAACTGATTAAAAATGGACAAAGGCATGAGATTTATACTTGCCCCAAGGTCACACAAGGCATGGCCCACTTCTTTTCCTCCAATAGAGCACGGGATGGTGAAACTTCCCGGGTCTTTTAAGTTTGGAGGAATTTTGCAAGTAAGAAGGGCACTACATTCCTTTGTCAAAGACACAGTCTCAAATTCAATATGTCTTCTCTTTTTCTTGAGGATGTCTTTTAAAAATTTAACATCGCTAGGCATTTGCTCGAGAGCTTCTACCAAAGGTATGTTAATGTGGAGTTGCTTAATGATGTCCAAGGACTTCTTAAACTGAACATCCACATTTTTGGATTTCATCCTACCTGGAAAAGGTAAATCTCTTAGATCTAAATCTGTTGGACCGGTCTTAATCTGCTCGGGTGTGGGCAGTTTCTGCCCACTGTGAGCAGTGTTAGTTGGAAACTGGGTGGTGCTGGAACTGGGTAAAGCTGCTGTTTTTGGAACAGAAACTGGAATTTGAGTTTCTTCAGCTGCAGGAAACAGAACTGGAAATTTCGATGTGTCAAAAGAATGTGAAATATTTTCTTGACAAATCGGCTCCATGGGTGTTTCTTTATTAGAGTCTCCTAAGTCCTTATCACTTCTTAAAGTCACGGCCTTAACATGTTCCTTAGGTGTTTCCGTGTCACTAGGCAAAGTTCCTTGAGGTCTATTCTTGAGATCCGTGGCAAATTAGCCAAGTTGGGTCTCAAAACTACTCAAGGTGGAATTGGTTTGGTTTATGAAACCTTTAAGTAAAGATTCGAGTGAACCATTACCCTCCGATGCATTTTGTTGCCTAGGTGTATGTGGTTGTGAAGATTGTCCACTTTGGTACATGTGATGATTACCTTGGATGTGATGATTACCTTGCATGTGATGACCTCCTTGATTAAATCCTGGGGGATTCGAAGGTCGGTTTGGGACTTGATTTGCCCCGGGGGGTTGAAGTCCTTGATTTTCGGCCCATGAAAAATTCAGATGATTTCTCCAATTTGAATTGTACGTTGGAGAAAATGGGCTATTTCTTGTATGGTTCCCAACATAATTTACCGAAACAGGGTTTCCGGGGTAAAACTCATAAGAATGACTTTCGCCACAAAAAACACAAGACTCAGTCATGGAAGAATTAGACATTATGGATTGGACTTGATTCTTTTCCCCATTCAAGTTTAAATTATTTTTAACCAAATTAGTTAGAGCAACAATTTGGGCATTCAAAGAAGAAATGACATCAAGCTCATGAATGCCCGAGGCAGATTTAGAAATGACAACACGAGGGTTAGA